TCTGTACAGTTGGGATTTATCACCATTGAATGTCATCTGCCATTTTGTTGCCCAGTCACCCAGTTCTGAGAGATCCTTTTGTAGCTCTTCACAGTCTGCCTGGGACTTAGTTATCTTTAGTAATTTTGCATCATCTGCAAATTTTGCCACCTCACTGTTTACCCTTTTTTCCTCAAGATGGCTCCTGGACGTGGTGAAAACAAGGGTGCATTTTCAGCAGAAAGAAAAAAAAAAGTTGAAAATTTTCTGCAGAGATTTTTGTTTTTTAAAATAAAATAATTTGTTATTTTGGGGTTTTCAGTTCCCTCCCCACTTCCCGTCTTTTCCCCTTGCCTTTTTTCCATTTCCACTGACAAAATGGAAACTAGAAAAGATGGGAAAAGAGGAGAAAGGGGGAGAGAAAAGGGGTCAGGTGGGGGGCCCAAACAATGCAAAACTAACCTCGACACCCAACATCATTTCAGTTCTCAGCTATTTCAGTGTTTGGGGGGGAGGGGTCATTGAAAACGCCAAAAAATGTCAATGCAAATTAAAACATTCCCACAAAAATTTTGGTTTAATTAAATGCATTTTTTGATGAAAAATTTTCAACCAAACCTAGATGAGTCCCTCTAGGGCAGAGGCGGGGCATGTTGCTGGGGCAGCATGGGGGCAGTGTGGATGAACACTGGACTGGATCTCAGAAGACCTGATTCCTATTCCTGGCTCTGCCACTGGCCTGGGTGACTTTGGGCAAGTCACTTTGCCTCCTTGTGCCTCAGTTTCCCCATGTGTTAAATAGAGATAATGATACTGACCTCCTTTATAAAGTGCTTTGAGAGCTACTGCTGACAGGTGCTGTAGAAGAGCTACAGATTATTATTACTGTTGTCCTGGAGCTGCCCAGGCTGAGCCCACTCAGGGCAGCTTTGACCAGCCTTCAATGAGCTTGGACACGTTTCTAAGTGGAGGAAAGTGGATGCTGAAAGCTGGGATGAGCAGCTCTCTGTTGCGTGGCCACTTTGTCCTTGCCCCTCAGCAACAGCACATCTGTTCACTGCCACACAACCCAGAAGATTGCATCAGGCCCTGTTGTGTAAAACCCCATGACATCCGCAGGCAGGAGTCACCAGACATAGACTGCCTGATCAGTTTGCCCAGAGGAGTCAGGAGAGAGGGCTAGAAGTCAGGGGATACACTCTATGATTCACTTCTCATTCTCAAGAGGAAATCTGGGTAATACGGCTCCCTGTGACATCAGGCAAACAGCTTCCTGTGGGTTATGGGGCCTACTCCAGCAGAGCAGCTTGCAGGATGGGGGGTCCCTGAAATCAGCAGAGCTCTGCTGATTTAACACCAGCTGAGGATCCGACCCTACGTTTCCAGCCCTTACAGTTGTGAAGAAACAAGGTGGGTGAGGTAATATCTTTTATTGGATCAACTTCTCTTGGTGAGAGAGACAAGCTTTCGAGCTTCTCTCACCAACAGAAGTAGGGCCAATGAAAGATCTCACCTCACCAGCCTAGTCTCACTAACATCCTGGGGCCAACACGACTACAATACTGCAGACTATTGTGGAGAATGCATTCATGTCACATTTTGAAGGTTAAGTGATTAATACAATAATGGCTGCAGACAGCCTGCAACAAAGCTCTGAGAGAACAAACTGCCCCACTTATCACATTGTGGTATTAACTCTGAAGCATAGTGATGCTCAATAAAGTGTGAAGAGAATTATTTCACAGCTGATCAAAGCACATACTAGAGAAGAGGGTGAATCATATTATGAAGATCTGCACTATCTGCTGTGAATGGTGTCTCCTTTTGGCATCGAAGAGGGTGGAGCTTGGGTAGTGGACTGAGCTTGAAAGATGACCAATACCTTTTTGTGTGCTGTGTAGGAAACAGTAAGAATATCTGCTTGATCCCTGAGTGATTTTGTAGTGGAGCACTTAGAAAATTATCTATTGATGTATAACTGAGCATGTGATCTGGGAACTGCTGAAAGATGATAAATATGTTGTCATTTTTTGAGTCACTGTCACTATCTACACTTTAAATTGCTTCTTTGTGATTAAGGTGTCCAAGGAGGAAATTGAGAAGTTCAAGGGGGTTAAGCAAACTCAGGTGGTTGCAAAGTTGCAAATCCAGGATCAGTTCCAAAGTTATCTGAGCCACCAAGTCACAAAGACATTTCTAACACCAAGATCCCAATAGCCTCAGATTTGCACTCGTATGCCGCTTACTAGGCAGAGATCCAAGCCCTTCCCACAAACACTCGTTAATTCTGTCTCTAGCCACCAAAGTCAGTATTACTTCCCCCCATTTTACAGATGCAAATAATTTTTTAAAAATTAAACATATTCCTTTTTTTCCCCTTCTATCCGATGGATAAAGGAGACCAGAAAGTTTTTTTTTTTTAATTTCCTTCTTGTTTTTATCTTTGAAATGCCAGAAGGGTCAAGTCAGATCTCCTTGCTTTTCCAGGAGGACTTATGAGAGTTTTTAGATGTTTGTTGTGAGCGCTGACACCTCACAAGGGGTGAGGCTGTTGAATCTTTAACAAAGACTTCTTTCCTTCATTAGCCATCAAAGTTGTTGTTGAAAAAATTAACAAAGAGTTTTAAAGACCCTGATTAAAGGTATCTTTTCCCCCCACCCCTGCAGCTCAGCTTTCGCTCTCTTGTCTCCTGGGATGTCACAATTTCACTAGTTCTCTGTGCACCACAGAGTGTTCCCGGCTAGATGAGATCAGAAATTCTCATTAAAAAACCAACACACTCTTCTCTCAGGTCTTGTCCCCCATCAAAATGAAAGGAAAAAGGACACAGGCCCAATTCTTTCCCCCTTTGCAGGTCACCTTTCAATGTAAAGCCAGATAATAATGCTGTTATTTTCCTGTCACTTTCCCCCAAAGGGTTCAGTACAGCTCCTCTTTGGAGGACATGGGAAGAGAATCTGGTTTTGTCTTTCTAGGAACCAGCACCTTTGAGTTTGAGCAGAGATCAGACCAGGCAGAGACAGATCCTGAATGGGCCCAATTGACTGTCACCCTGTACTTGTGTTGTCACTCATGTCAGGTGATGAATTCCACCGTTCTGGGGCGCTGGGGACGTGGCTGCACCCCCTTCTCGGGGATGCTGAGGGCTGCACCTCAAAAGGTGACACTAATTTGTGCCCCTGTTGCAATGGCCTCTGTGGGCCAATGTTGCAGGGGTGCAGAATCACTAGGGTGCAGGGCCATTCACTCCGAATGACCCTCCCACCCTGGACCGCTCCCAGAATGCCCCTGTGCTCAGAGGGGTTTGGAGGTGGTTGCGTAGGGGACACAGAGCTGCCAGGCCCCCTGCCCAGGGCTATGCCGCCTGGGGGAGCTGAGGACTCAGGAGACCTGGGTTGTACTCCCAGCTCTGCTGCTGGATGACTGTGCCTCAGTTTCCCCACCTGTAAAATGCGGATAATGATACTGACCTCCTGTGTAAAGTACTTTGAGATCTAGAGATGACACATGCTAGATAAAAGCAGTGCATTGTTATTTATACTAGGGTTGGTTGAGAGTTTCCCCTGGAAACTGTCTTTTTGGATTAAACAAAACTTTTCACAAAACGTGTCTCCTTGTCATGGAACATTTAGATTTGTTGTTGAAAAAATGAAAATTTCCAGTTTTCAGCCAAAAGAACTTTTGTGTATTTTTTGTTTGTTTTTCTTGTTGAGGCAAAGTTGGTATTTTCAACAGACTGCTTTCCAACTCCTTTTCTGCCTCACTCTGTTCCTCGCTCCCCAGCGCCTGCTGACAGCAGCTGAGAAACCTAATAAGTTGGAGCTCCTGGGTGTGGAGCAGGCTTTTAACATCTCATGATTGCCGACGCTTGTGATTCCATTGCAAATGTCATGATGTGTGGGCTTTCTCCTAAAGCCCCAGCTCCTGGAGTCAGGTGATTTCAAAAGAATCCCAGCCTTCCTCTTTAAAAGAACGTGTCCAGCCCTCGTGATTGCCAAGGAAAGCTTAGAAATGGGACCCCCAAGGCTCGAAAACCAGAGGCAGATACAAAGAAACCCAAATATAACATTTAAAAGCCTCTCATGATTTTAGAGCCAATCTCGCGATTTGGAGGCGTGACTCGTGGTTTGGGAAAGGCAGCAATACTGGTATCAGGTGACTAAATGCAGCTGGGCTCTATGGAAAATTTGGCTCCAAATGTCGTAGCCAGCTTTGCACCCTGATCAGCGCAGTGTAGAGACCCAAGGCTTCCAGCTACACGCCCACCCATCGCCCGTGTCTGAGCTAGCCCTACGCCGCCAGCTGCCCTTGCCTAGGTTGTGTCCATTGCTTCCCAGGTGGCCCCTTCAGGGGCGCAGGAAGCCTTTAGCAGCGGCCCTGTTAGCGGGAGGCTGCTCTTTGCAAACCAGCTAGAAAGGATGGCGCATCAGAGAGGATGCAAACCGGCTCCCCCCGGCTGCGCTTTGCCAGGGAAGGCAGCTGAGGGATGCTGCCCAGGCGCTGGAAGAAGGGTGGTGGGAGATACTGAGAGCCCAGCTACCTGGCAGGGTTAGCACGAAAAACACCCCCCAGGCAACTCATTGCATTTCACTGGCAGCTGTTTCCTGGGAATCCCCCCAGGGAAGCCCCCTCGTACGAGCCACTCGCCCCCCCCCCCCCAGCAGCCCCCTCTCCACCAGCCACAAGCAGAGGGATGCAGAGGGTTCAGTTCTAGGAGCCAGCACAGGCGAGACCTCCTGACCCACTTTCCAGGGCAAGGTAACTCTAGGTCATCGCCGTCTCGCTCAGCTGAGGCTGGCAGCTGCGCGTTTCTCTTCCCACTGGGGGAGGGCCCCGGCTCCCAGCCTGCTCGGGGCGCATGGCTGAGATGGCAGCGGAGCTGAGCCTAGGACAGAGCGCTACAGTCCAACAGCAAAGCGAACAGCAGATTGCTGACAGCCAATGGCGAGGGCAGCCTTAGGTGGCACCAAATTTCCGCCAACCAATAGGATCCCCTCAGCAAGTCTAAAGGCATCATTAGCGATTCTCCCATCCTCATCCTCTTCATCAGCATCCTTCTCCTCACCTGGCGTTGCTCTGCCAGTCCCAAGAAGAAAATAACAACAGCAGCAAGCGCAGGGCACCGGAAAGCTTCACTACCTCAGCCCTGGCAGCTGCAGCCTGCTAAGCCAAGGAGCGGGGACGCTGCTGAAGTGCTGCGAGGGCTCCCCGCGGCAAAGCACGATCCATCTCCCGGGATCACGTTACCACGGGCACCAGCAGAGGCGGCGTCTTCACTGAAGCGCAGAGCTGCTCTGCCAGCAGCAGCACGAAGCTCTCCCTGAGGGGGTCACAGCGGATCTCCGCAGAGGAAGCCGCCGGCAGTAGCTATACATACAGCTCTACACACGCGCGCAGTCCCCAGATGCCTGCCAGCATGCTCCAAGAGGAGGTAAGCTCATTACAAGAGAGTAGGGTGACCAGATAGCAAGTGTGAAAAATCGGGACGGTGTGTGTGTGTGTGGGGGGGGGGGGGGGTAATAGGCGCCTATATAAGAAAAAGCCCCAGATATCAGGACTGTCCCTATAAAATCGGGACATCTGGTCACCCTACAAGAGAGAGCCCTGGGTAGTAACTTCGAGAGACCTGCTACGTGAGCTCTGCTGAATAGATCCCTGATGCCACCAGCTCGAATCATTTCTTTTTCACAGGGGGTTTAGTTAACTAGAACTGGTAAATTCTGGGGGGCGGGGTTAAAATCTCGTTGCTTTTGTGTTACTCTCAAAGCATTAACAAACGCAATTTGCTGCTAACCTGAGACCGACTGAGCCCACAGAGGTGGCTCAAGATCTTAAATAGTTAAGTATGCCGCTGAAATCTCCTTGAGGAAGGGGGTGTGTGGAGAGAGGAGTGAATCATCAACTGCTGGTTTTGCGGGGAATTTTTTTGAACAAAGCCTTCAGAGCCATAGAAATGGTTCCATGCGAGTCTCTTGTGCAGATGGCCGATGGTTTTTATTAAAACTCCCAACGGAAATCTTGTCCTGTTTTTAAACCGACGTTCTCCTGCAGTGTTTGTAACCCAAACATTGCAGCACTGTGCTAGCCTAGGACACTCAAGGTGAAATTGACTAGAAACCAAAGTGAAATTGATTATGCTGTGAACAAGGCAAGAGTAAATGAGAGGTTGCAAATGTCCAGTCATCCTCAGCTTTTAATAATAACCTGGGGTGGGGGGAAATTAGCCTTTTAAAAATGAATGATCTCCGGGCAGTTTCCGTTTTAGACGGATTTAGCTGATTTCCCCCATCTAACGCCTCCTATCCACAGCCCGTCTGTGCAAAGTGGGAGGGAAATGCTACCAGCTCAGAATGGCAGGGTGTTCCCGCCCCTTTTCAGGAGTGTGGAGGACTACACGAGGTGCAGGGATGTGGAGAGCCCTGCCCTCTCTCCAGCAGAAATGCATGCCAGGACTGATGTTTTCCTTTCGTTTTTTAATATTTATTTAGGGACTAGATTTAACTTACACATCACCTGCCTTCTCTCTTTTTCTCAAGGTTGTGAATGGCCCTGCGCTATGTTGCTTGTGGGGTGCTGCCGTATACTGGCCTGAGATTGTATTACTGGGGTCTGGTCCTGAGTCCAGCTATACGGGGCACATAAACTCTAGTAGGCTGTCTGGGCTGGCTGTATACCGGGTTCACCTACTGGGTGCTTAATGTTGGCAGAGAGTGGGGGGGGGGGGAACATCTGTTCTGCACATGGGAGCTGCAGAGTCGTTCATGAATGAGGGGGCACTCATGTAAATGATCTAGCCACTCCCCCACCTCTGGACCCCAAAGCAGCCCTGTTCAATCCCAGTCCTTCTCTCAGGGCAGAGGCAAGAGGAGCCAGCATAGCCCTTAGGCCAGGAGATAACTCCTCTCTCTCTCCTCCCCACCCCATTGGTCTCCAGCCAAGTGAGCCCCCCTATCATGTCTCTCAGCTGGATTTCAGAGCTGTCTGTGGGCCATATGGCCTCTCGAAGGCCTACGCAGGGAAGATGACCAGCATAGTTGTGCTGCTATAATTATAGCAATGTCAGTAAAATTCCCTATGGGGTCGATCTGGGATAAGAGCATCAATGTGGGGTGTAATTATACAGGGATAGCTATGCTGGTAATTTTCCCTATGTAGACAAGCCCTGAGCCCCCTTGGCCAATTATCATGCAGCCAGGGAAGTATATACAACCTCCTGGTAGGAGGTCATATGGGTATATCTGACATTTGGGCTGGGAAGAACCCTAATGTGCCTAATATCTGGATTATAATGCATTTCTCAGGCACTTTAGGTCTGTCCCCAGAACCTCTGGATGTATCATTACTATGAACATAAGAATGGCCATACTGGGTCAGACCAAATGTCCATCTAGCCCAGCATCCTGTCTTCCGACAGTGGCCAATGTCAGGTGCCCCAGAGGGAATGAACAGAACAGGCAATCATCAAGTGATCCATCCCCTGTCACCCATTCCCAGCTTCTGACAAACAGAGGCTAGGGACACCATCCCTGCCCATCCTGGCTAACAGCCATTGATGGACCTATCTTCCATGAATTTATCTAGTTCCTTTTTGAACCCTGTTGTAGTCTTGGCCTTCACAACATCCTCTGGCAAAGAGTTCCACAGGTTGACTGTGAGTTGTGTGAAGAAATACTTCCTTTTGTTTGTTTTAAACCTGTTGCCTATTAATTTCATTTGATGACTCCTAGTTCTTGTGTTATGAGGAGTAAATAACATTTCCTTACTTACTTTCTCCACACCAGTCACGATTTTATAGACCTCAATCATATCCCCCCCTTAGTCATCTCTTTTCCAAGCTGAAAAGTCCCAGTCTTATTAATCTCTCCTCATACGGAAGCAGTTCCCTACCCCTAATCATTTTTGTTGCCCTTTTCTGAATCTTTTCCAATTCCAATATATCTTTTTTGAGACAAGGTGATCACATCTGCATGCAGTATTCAAGATGCGGGCATACCATGGATTTATATAGAGGCAATATGATATTTTCTGTCTTATTATCTATCCCTTTCTTGATGATTCCCAACAGTCTGTTTGCTTTTTTTGACTGCTTCTGCACATTGAGTGGATGTTTTCAGAGAACTATCTACAAATACTCCAAGATCTCTTTTTTGAGTGGCAACAGCTAACTTGGACCCCATCATTTTATATGTATAGTTGGGATTATGTTTTCCAATGTGCATTACTTTGCATTTATCAACATTGAATTTCATCTGCCATTTTGTTGCCCAGTCACCCAGTTTTGTGAGATTCTTTGTAGCTCTTCGCAATCTGCCTGGGACTTAACTATCTCGAGTAGTTTTGTATCATTTGCAAATTTTGCCACCTCACTGTTTACCCCTTTTTCCAGATCTTTTATGACTATGTTGAATAGGACTGGACCCAGTACTGACCCCTGGGGGACACCACTATTTACCTCTCTCCATTCTGAAAACTGACCATTTATTCCTACCCTTTGTTTACTGTCTTTTAACCAGTTACCAATCCATGAGAGAACCTTCCCTTTTATCCCATGGCAGTTTTCTTTGCTTAAGAGCCTTTGGTGAGGGACCTTGTTAAAGTCACATTGACTAGAAGAGAGTTGTGGGGAGACAGGGCCCCCAAGCTGGGATGCAAGAAGACAGCTCTCCAGCAACAAAGCTGTCTGGCAGCATGGATTTGCCCAGGTTCATCCTTTTAAATGGAAATATGTTTGATTCCAAATGTCTGCAAGAGAACCTGTAGAGTGCCTGGGGATCCTCCAAGGGGAATTTCTCAGCCTCTATAACAGTCACTGTGAGGAGGTATTGCTGAGGCTGTGGATTCTGCCCCTGGGAAAGGGAGGAGTTGGGTAGCCAAATAAACAGCATGGATTGCTTTTAATGCCTCCCTCAAGAAACTGGGCCACAGTGGAGCCCTGGCCCCAGAGGGTGCCCTGCCACCAGGAAGAACGTGTGTGTGAGCCAACTTCTAATGCCCTGCCACCAAAGATACCAAATAGCCTTTGGAGAGGCAGAGCCACTGTCCAGGCTTCCTCAGCGTGTCCAGAAATATCAGGCCTGATTCTGCCATTCCAATTGGGTAGTGACTACACACCCAGTTTGCACAGGTGGAAATGGCTGAGCAAGGCATAGCACAGCCCAGGCCCATTTGGGCTGATTCTCAGGGGTCAGATGCTCCAACAAGTGCTCGGCCCCTCTGAAAATCAAGCCCATCATGCCCAGATTCAGACCTGAGATGGGCACCCCGGTGTGTAGACATGAAGCAACCACACCTGGCTGAGAGGAGGATCAGTTACTCCAGATTTAATGAAAGGATCCTGCCTAGTGAGGTCACTCGTGCGTGATCCTTTCATTATGCATGTGTGATCTGGCACTCCTGCTAATACAGAGGGGTAAGGCATGTGAAGAATGACTGTTGTGTCATGCTTGCATCGGGGGAACTGGGAGCCAAGACTTCTAAGTTCTATTCTTAACTGTGCCACTGACTCACTGGGTGACTTCAGGCAAGTTACTTCTCTCTGTGCCTCGACTTCCCCATCTCTGAATGTGGGGGATAATGATACTGACCGGTAACCATGAGGTGCCAACTCCAAGGTTTTATCTAGGAGCATGCAACACTTTCCTTATCCCTATCACTCCTCACCCAGAGATCTCAAAGCACTTGGCACAGGTCGGCCAGTATCGCTCTCCCCACTGGACAGAGAAGGAAAGTAAGGCAGTGAGAGGTGAAAAGGTACCACAAATGGGTTGTGAGACTTAACCCAGTAATATCTGAACTGCCCTGAGATCCTCCATGGAAGGGGCTGTGGAAGGGAAAGGATGAGTATTAGGAGAAGCCCTGGGAACAAAGTGTGAATCTCATTCCCCCTGTTGCTGGTTTGCACAATGTAATTTATTGGTGGCTGAAAGGAACGAGCCCAGCCCAAGCTCTCAGGGACCCTTGAGTGAGCGATGTAAAACACCCATTGACAAAGCCAAATGAGAGTGATTCCCTGCTCCCTTAAGGGGATCTCTGCTGGTGGTGGTGAGGGGGTGTCTTTAAACACCTTCACTCCCACTCTCCATGCCCCCCAAAGCCCCAGGGCTGAGATCCACCCCTGTATAGGGCACGACAGATCCTGAGTGGTGCCTAGGGATGAAGTAGTGTCTAGGCTTCACTCTGACCCAGGGTGAGGGGTGGGTTGCACCACAGGAGAACAACATGCCATTGGCTGGGTGCTGCTGGGCCTGGCTGGAAAACCCCAGACCAAGTCCTGCTACCACTCAGAGGCTGCTTTAGTAACCTTCTCTCCCTCCCCACCCCCGCTCAGGATATGATGCGGGGGATGGCAGGGGTGGGGGGAGGGGAGGCTGTGATGGAGAGACAGCCAGCCCCAGCTCCTAATGCTCCTCTGTCCTAGGAGATGGGTGTGATGGTGGATCAGCAGCCCAAAGCCAGCCCCTCTTGATCCCTGTGGTGGGGACCAGATTGTAACCAACACAATGTTGTTTGTTTTTAATGTCCCCTCCCAATGCCAGCTCTCCAAGGATCTCCCCTCCTCCACCATCACCGCCAGGGCAATGAGGAATGGGGGAGCAGGCATGGAGAAGGCCCTGTCCAACCAAGAGGACTTGGGAGGAGACCGGGGCATGACGGACGATATCTTTGATGAGAGCTACTGTGAGAAGGAGGGCCCCAAGCCTGCCAAGAGATACGTCTGGAGGAACATCGTCCTCATGAGCCTGCTGCATTTAGGGGGCTTGTACGGGTTGTGGCTGATACCTGCAGCAAAGCCCGTCACCTTGGCATGGGGTAAGTGGAGGGGACTCTCCCATCTTCCCTGTATGACGGTGAAACTGCAGGGGGCGGAAGAATACAATCACCCAAAAGGGGATGAGGCCAGTGCCTGAGGGTAATAAAGAGTAGAGGTTGCAGAAACTGTCACGGGGTCTTCCAGGAGCACAAGAGTCAGGCTTGCAGAGCTAGGTGTCTCATGTGAGTGAAGGCACAGGAATGAGTTAAAGCTGGAGCTAATTCTTGTATCGCTTCCCCAAACACACAGATAAAAATTGAAACATTAAGTTAGACTCCAAGGCAACCTTGTACAACTTCATTAGGCTGTTTCACACGCAACCAGTTCCAGTCAAGGCTGCAGTGGATGAGAGATGACTAAGGCGAACCCGCTGGGGTCAGATACGCTCTCCCCGCTCAGACCTTCTGGACAGTGTTAGAACCAAACTCATCTTCTGAAATGCATGGCTGAGCTGCAGCTGGGATCGGGATGGGAGGTGCCGGCTCTCACCAGAGACCCTGTCTTTCACAAAACTTTTTCTGACCTATTTTGAAGACTTGAGCAGTTTGGTTAGTTCAGATGACGGGGTGTGGCGAAACGTGCCTAAAGTTCTGACTGCTTCTCTGATCCCAGCCTCTGACTATTACAGAAATGGAGCATTTTAAACTAGAGATGGGGGTCTCATTCATGTCTGATTTACACAGCTGGGTAAGAAAGCAGAGTCAAGCCCTCCAGTTTAGATAGTTCTAGTCAGATGCTCCCTAGGTAACAATCTGGCAAACCAGGCTGCTGGACAGTCCCTTGTGAGATCTGGCTGGGATCTCCCTTGCTGTCCTTTCATCCCACTGCCAGGCTTGGGCTGGTCTACTCTCAGAGGCTACCTTCTGGGATGCTTGGGCCTCTGGACCTGGCTAGAGGCTGGGAGGATCACCTTCCAGAGAGATCTCCTTCCAGAAGCAGGCAGGAGGCTTAATTGTTACCCCTTGGATTTCCAAGACCTGCTGGTTTGACTCTCTGCTCCCGTGACTGTAGCAGGCAGTGGCTGGTGTGGTTGCCACAGGCATGGTTCACAGTCTGCCGAAAGGCGGTGGCGAAGGCACCAGCGTGAAGCCAGCATCACTCAGAATGCTGCCATGCACAAAATGGTCCCTTTACAAAAGAATCCTATTGGGCTTTTACCCTGTGAAACTGATACGCTCCAAGGACAGCGTCTTCCCCTGCATCCCCCATAATCAGGGAACTGCGCATGCTGTCCCAGGGGCTGACCTCGCTGGGGGGAATATGCAGCATCAGCGTGTCCTTGGGGGAAGCTTTCAAGGCCCTTGACACTGTTTTGTGCAGCAGAAAGCCTTGCTCTTCGGGCCCCGTTGCTCTCTGGTGCAGCATTATCTGTTCTGAAAGCCCCAGCTCCAGCCTTGCATGCAGAGTTCTGGGAGCCTCACAGACCTGCTCCAATGGAGCGTCTGGCTGCACCCTAGAGATGGGCCTCCACCTCAGCATTCAGCACGGCAGCCAGAGGCCCTCAGAACTAAGTCAGGGTGGGGTGAGGAGGAAGGGGGTTGGTTTGGTGGGTTTCTTCCAGGGAAATGGGACAACCATGTGGTCCAGCAATGGGATGAGCTGGGGTCCGTGTGGGAGTTAAATGATGTCTGTCCTTCTTACCCTTCCCCACCTAACAGCATTTGTAATGCATCCCTAAGCACATCTGCCCCCTCTGTTCTCATCCCATTTTGCTCCAGTGCCCCCCAGTCTGTGTCTCACCTTCCTCTGTCTCTGGTAGTGCCTTAGATCTGTTCCTAACAGCACACTTGTGTTCTCAGTTCTGTACTGTTGCTTTTCTTTGCTGTTTTCTGTTTCAGGTTGATCTTTCTGGATTTTAATTTCAGTTTAGCAGTGCCCTACCACCTGGGACAGATGAGCATCCCTTATTCAGAATATATACTACAGTCGTAGCTCCAGTCTATGCTCTACCACTACTGTAAGCTGCGGAGTATGGGACTGTGACGAACTGAGACTGTTCTTAGAGTGGTCTGTGAGTGCTGACAGGGGAGTGTGGCTAGGATGGTCTGCACTGGGGGAGGGGAGACTGACCGACAGAGAATACCTGAGCATGTAACATGAGAACCCAGGAAGGGGTTAGAGGCCAGGTGACACCTATGCCCGGGAAACTGAACAAAGGCTGTGGGAGGGGTCGCTGAAGGCAGAGTTTCAGAAGCTGGCTAGTGACCTTGGCTGGAAGGCAGACAGGGCTCTGATCCCCTAAGGGGGCTAGGGTGCCCGGGGACCCCAAGATGAACCTAACTGAGGGGGTCCTGTTGTCTGCGCCTGTAAGACCTGTCTTGGACTGCATTCCTGTAGTCTAAATAAACCTTCTGCTTTACTGGCTGGCTGAGAGTCCCGGTGAATCGCAGGGCGCCGGGGGTGCAGGGCCCTGAGTCCCCCCACACTCCGTGACAGGGACCAATAGCCTATTATATTTTTGTAAGGAATTACTCATAGTTATACCATCCTAAACCACTCCTCTGTTGGCTTGATGTTCACACCCCTCAGAATCCTATAGACTCTCTGGTTCTATCCCCTTTAATTTCCATCTTGCTGGGTTCTACATACTAAGTTCTCATTGCTTTTCAAGCTCTCCAGCCCTTTGCTGATGTTTGCCCTTCTCAGTTCCTGCCCATGTTATATCACACAATCTCTTTCTGGACCAGAGTTCCCCAGAACTACATAGTATTGCTGGTCAGGCAATGTCCCTCCGCTGCAGCATCTGTGAGATCCCTTTGGTCTCTCAGCATTGCTGCTTTCTGTGCATCTCCCCTATCATTACTGTCCAGCCAGGGATTCTCTTTCCCCAGAGGCACTACCTGCATTTGACAAGGCCGACTCTGGACTCTTTTATGTCCTGACTGTGGCCCTCTGTTGTGGCCAAAACGCACGGAAGGGAAGTCAGGGAGGGTGGTATACCCTCACGGCCCTGTGCTGGGGGCCATTCTGTGCATGCTGTCCTCCTTGCGCTGTGGTGGAGCAGCCTGGGGGTTGCTTTGATTTATGGCCTGTAATGGCCATAAAGGGGCTATACATGGATCAGCATGGTGCAGGGGTGTTTTAACAATGCCCATTTCCTGCAGTGCCAGGAGTGGGGAACATGTGAGACATTTGTTCTGCGGTGCTGTGGGATCGTCCTTGCACTATGGTGACACCTCCCTGGGCCAGTTAGGCAGAGCTGGCAGCCAAAGAACCCTGGCAGCGCAGTACAAATCAGCTGCACTCCACCTGGGGATCTGGCCCATATTATCTAACCTTTCTACAGACGCTCCCGTGTTACTCTTTCCTCAAAGCTGTTGGCAACACCTCCTAATTTAGTATCCTCTGCCGATTTAATTAATGTGCCGCTTGCCTCTCCTCCAGCTCAGAGAGGAGGCAGGATATTTCTGAACAGAGCTGCCATCCAATTCTATCCACAATTACTCCTTCTAAACACTGGCCTTTGGAAATGGTGCATATGTGGTGCCCTTATAACTGCTCCTGGGAGCCTGTTCCATAGAGGAGTCAGACTTCCCTTCATCTTCAAGCACCACAGCCCCAGAGATAGGGGAGTAGTTCATCCCCAAGTTGTGCAAAGAGTGGAGGAACAGAACTTTCCGTCTCAATGCCAGTGAAGTCAATGGAGTTTCTAGATTCATAGATTTTTTCAAGCCATTCGGATCATCTGTGTAACACAGGCCAGAAATCCTCCCCCAGATTCTGTTTGATCTGTAGTGTATCTTTGAGGCATCCAGTCTTGAGCTGAAGACTTCAGGTGATGGGGAATTCACCGTGTCCCTAGATGAGTTATTCCAATGGTTGTCCGTGGTCCCCTGGAATAACTGAAATCTGAATCTGGCTCGCAGAGAGGGTAAGGCCAACACTTTCAAAGCGGCCATTGAGTATTGGGTGACCAATAAGAACAAAAAGATGGTCCCTGCCCCACAGAGTCTTTGATTAGCTACAGCAGTCGGTCACAACCACCAGGCAGGGAGAGCACAAAGTTACTGTCACACGGTTTTGACTGATATCAACAGGGGTCTCAGCTGCAGCTGAAATCAATCAGAGCTGCAGGTGCTCAACATCTCTGCAAAGCTGACGGCTGTCTCATGTTGGGCACCCAAAATCAGAGGCTACTTATTTACATTTCAGTCCAAGGTCCATGCCCAAGGCTGCACAGTGAGTCAGTGGCGGAGCTGGGATTACAAGCAGAGTTTTGGGCGCCCGGCCCTGTTCTTTAACCCACTCCCCGCTGCAATAAAACCTACTCTCTTGTTCTGCCAAAATTCCTTAAGTGCCTTGTCTCCCTTTCCTTGTGTGCCTCCCTGTATTTGTCCACCACTCCCCTATCAGTTAGCTCTCCCGTAGGAGGTGCTATAAGCCAATCACTGCCTGGCATTTGTCTAGCAAAGGGATAGCTGAGGTTCCTGAGCCCCTCTGTCACTCTGGTGGCCTTTTCCAGTACCTTAGCCAAGAAACAACATGACCAAGACTGAAAGCAGTGGCCCGATGCAGTGTCTCTAGGCCCGGGCTCAGGGCTATAAATAGAGCATCTAGTTCCCTAACCCACAGTTTTCTTTTTAATGCCATTAAAGTTGACTAAAGATTCTCCAGTTTAATTCTCCAGGGACCCAGCTAGGGATGCTCTGGATCTGTCCCCTGTATGTTGCCTGGCTGCACCCTTCAACTACTTGTAGAAAGCATATGGCCTAGTGGTTAGAGCATGAGCTGGACTCCTGGGTTCTAGTCACAGCTGTGCCATGGACAAGCGGTGTGATCTTGGGTAAGTTAATTTGCCTTCCTGTGCCTCAGCCTGTTTGTACAATAGGTATAAAGTCACACAGAGGTTTCATGAGCTGAGGTTTGCAATATGTTTCCACAGCATCTTATGTCTAGGGAGCACCGTGGGTTCTGACAAATTCCCCATCACTGAGAAGCCTCTCTCTCCCCGGCCCTTTCCTCTTGCTCCTTCATGTGCTTGTCACTGGGGTTCCAGCGGAAATCCTCATCCGGACCTGCAAAGCTGTATGTGACTGATTGAACCTTCCCACTCTTTTTCCTTTTCCTGCATCTCCCTGGTTCCAGCAGGATCAGCCATGTGGAAATACTGAGAGTCGCCTTTCCTGCCAGAAATAGGGGACTCATTCCCTCAAGGGCTCCTGACCCAGCTTTGCAGACCTGAGAGGTGCTGAGACATTTAGGTTTTTTTTCTGAAGCAAAACCACACTCCAAACCTTTTGATGCTGTCCTGTCATTAAACCAAAGCTGGGCCCGACCCGAAGCCCCAGGCCCAAGCCCCCTCCTGCTCCGACAGAGCTGTGGGGCAGGCCAGCTCAGAACTCTGTAGCCCAGGGCCGTCTCTATCAACATTGCTCCTCTTCTTGTGACCTCTTCTACTGTTGATGTCAATGGCAAAGCTCTCACTAACTTCTATGGTGCAGAGTCAAGCACTTTGTTCTCCACCTTTCTGTTCCTTGCCCCCTTCCCCGCCCAACCTCCATCCTCCTCACATCACTTTCACCTGCCTTGGGAATCAGTTGCTCACCCGGTGACCCCTCTGCCCCTGGCAGATTTCAGAGCCTCCAGGGGGAGAGGAAGTTTGACAAGGGAGGATATGTAGGGATAGGCAGAGTTATGGAGAGCGTTGGTGGTGGTGGCCAGAAGCTTGTTTGATATAATAGTAGCTGGGGAACCAGCGGTGGATATGAAGAGAGGAATGATGGGATCTGATCAGCAGACATGGAAGATGACTCTAGCAGTTGCACCTTGTACAGTGTGGAGTGGGGGCGAGTATGTGCTTGAGACGCCAGAGGAGGATGGTGCAGTAGCTGAGGCTGGACATGAGGGCCTGAGGAGAGGTGTGGCCCTGAGGGTGGAAAGAAAGCCTGATCTGGGAGCTTCGAAGAGGAAGAAGTAGCAGGTGATTACTGGAGAGTAAGCACGGATCGGTTTGAACTAAGGAGCTGTGTGAAAAACAAATGGGCACTCCTGGAAACTATGGTGATAAACAACAACCAAAGGCTTTGTATTTAAAAATAGATACCCGGAGGATAACTCTCACTTGTCCTTCTTTCTCCCAGCAGCCACTGGCAGAATCCACATTGTTAGGATTTTAGGTGGGGTGTGTTAAAGGGCATTAAGTGGGCACCAGAGGTACTGCCAAGTTTACCTGTGATTCCTGCTTATATACACAGGCTGAAATCAGTGCAGTTGAATCATGGAAGGTATTTTCCCAGGGGATATTAGGATGTGGATTTTGCACTGAACAAGGATCGACTGGTAGGCACTGTGGGTGCATCCCCTGAGATTACAGGGAGGTAGGGGAGAATGTTAAGGTTTCTTCAGTTCTTGTGACTGAGCTTTTGGCCCTTCCTTCTGATCACATTTTGCTTTTCAGGTGCATATCCAAGCTCCCAGTTCTCCTCTGATATTCGAGCCCTTGGGGTGCTGTTGGAAAAGTGCCACAGGGTCTTAGCTCTAGGACCAGTAGCTATAATCCATTGTAAACTCTGTCCTCGGGCCAGTATATGGGGATAGACCTATGCACACGGGGACAGGGTGTCATGGGTCTGGAAGACAGAAGAGCACATGCTTTTTATCCAAACAGGCCTCTCTCCTTAAGGGATGGAACTCCACCTGACTGACTCATGACAGCACCACGGGGGAGCAAACAAAAAAAGCCAACTTGATACTCTTCCAATCCACCACCAATCACTTGTGGCCTGTGTATGACTTGACAATGAATCTAGAAGCTGAGCAGAGAGTAGAACTGAGGAGTAGGGAGAGGAGGCGGGTGGGAAGGGGGAAGCTGAGCAGTCTTCAGTCAATGATGGAGCTGAAGGTATGGTCTAGGATCTGATGGGACAGCCATTTCCCCCAGCTCACTCCTGCTTGGTATTCAAAAGGGTGGGGGAGAGAAGATGACCCTGTGTGTAGTTCACTTTCTGTAACATCTAAAAACACCTGCCAGTCAGTGTGATGTCTAACATTGTAGTGTGTTTGGGGGCCTGGAAATTAGGGTTACCATCCGTCTGGGTTTCCCCGGACATGTCCGGCTTTTGGGTCTTTAAATAGCCGTCCGGGGGGAATTTGTAAAAAGTTAAAAATGTCTGGGATTTCCCCCCGGACGGCTATTTAAAGACCCAAAAGGAGGACAGGGCAGCCGCGCTGGGGGAACCGCGGCAAGCCGGCGCCGCCAGCGCCACTCACCTTTCCTCCCTGGGCCCTGGGGCAGCGCGCAGCTGAGATCTCGCGGCGCCAGCCCACGGGGGCCCCCCTCCTGGCCGGCAGGAGCCTGCAGAGCGCAGCCCTCCCCCTGCCCCGGCACACAGAGAGGCAGGGAGGTCTCACTCCCCTGCGTGCTGCAGCGGGGCGGGGCTTGTAGACTCCGGCAGCAGGCAGCTGTCGCCGGGCAGAGAGCTCCCCCCGCCCCTGCCCCCCTCCCCTCCCCTCCCCTCGACCCGACCCTAGGAAGGGGCCAGAGGGACTGGGAGGGACCTGCCTGCTGCATGCTTCCTGAGAGCCGCTCCAGGTAAGCACTGCTGGGCTCACCTGGCCCCCTGGCAGGTCCCTCTGGGGGGGCTCCCCTCAGACCCACTGCCCTCAGGCCCCACCCTGACCCTGTTCCCTCAGCCTCCCCTGCAGTTCCCCCTGTACCTCCCACCCCGAACCCACTGCCCTCAGTCCCTGCCCCCGTTCCAACAGCCTCCCCCACAGTCCCCCTGCTCCCCCCAACCCACTGCCCTCAGCCTTGCCCTACCCCAAATCTCTTCTTCAGCCTCCCCCGTCATCCCACCCCCATCGCTCCCCCTGCTGTCCCACCCCCTCAACTTCCCACCATTCCAGTACTGCTCCCCTCTGTCTCATCCCCTCCAGACCCTGTCCCTCTCCCCAACCCCCCAACCCTCCCCAGCCCAG